CTATATCAGACTCTCAGGGTCTTCTACCAATCAAGCTGCTTCTCACTTTTCTAAAATCCATCCCGTATACGCTGAGACTTTCCTTACAAGACAGCCTGCTCATTCCAGCTATGAATCTGGTAAACCTTCTCTGAGCTGTTCCCAATGCCATCACATCCTTCCTTTAACAAGGTGCCCAATACTGCACACAGTGCTCCAAATGTGATCTCATCAGGGCCCTTTATAACTGAAGCATAACCTCCCTGCTGTTATACTCAATTCCCCCCGCAATGAATAAACCATTCTGTTAGATTTCCTCATTCCTTGCTGCACCTGCATACTAACCTTTTGCGTGCAATACACTAGGACCTTTGCATCTCAGAGCTCTGCAGCTGCTCACCATTTAGACAATACACTTACTTCTTAATTTACTTACATTACTTAATATACTTAATTTACTTAACTACACTTACTTCTAAAATGGACAAGTTTATATTTTCCCACAATACATTCCAATTGTCAGTAATTTGCCTACTCACTTAACCTATCCATTCCCTCTGTAGACTCCTTACGTCCTCTTCACAACTTACTTTCCTACTTTGTATCATCAGCAAATTTAGAAAACCATATCTAGGTACATGTGGCAATAATAAGTCAAATCAAATCAACTCATGTATATAAATTGAGAGCCCAGCACTGATCCCTGTGGGACACCACTCATTACACTGTGTCAGAAAATCACCCATTCTTTCTTACACTTTTTATACTACTTTGAACAAACATTAAAGCTATTAAAGCTCAAAGCAAGCTGGAAGAACAGCACCTCATTTTCCGCTTGGGGACCCTGCAGCCCTCTGGACTCAATATTGAGTTCAATAATTTTAGGGCCTAAACTCTCCCGTGTCCCAGCTCCCTACCCCACACACTAGACCTTGTTATGACACAGCCTGCCACTACACACTACCTATTGTCAATTGCTAAGAGCCCCCATTAACAGCTATTCACTCTCCCAGCCTGATCGTTATCCACTTCTTCATCTATCCAACTGTTCTCCTCTCTCTTTAGGCTCTATCCCAACCTACTGTTTGCTCCTTATCCCATGCCCCACCCTATCTTCTGCGTATAAACCAACGTTTTCCCAGCTACCATCAGTTCTCAGGAAGGGTCACCAGACCCGAAACGTTAACTCTGTTTCTTCCTTCACAGATGCTGCCAGACCTGCTGAGCTTTTCCAGCAACTTCTGTTTTTGTTCCTGATTTACAGCATCCGCAGTTCTTTCAGTTTTAATGAAATTCAGACGATCTGGTTATTATCACATTGCTGTCTGTAGGAGTCTGCAGTGTACAAACTCACTGCTACATTTCCACCTTTACTCCTTCTTCAGAAATATTGCATTTGCTGCGATGTGCTTTGGGATGTGGACACGAGAAGTGATTTATAAAAGGAAATGCTTCTTTCACATCTCTCTATTTACCGAGGGCTGCAGATCATGGACAACGGTGACCCCGCCTGGCTCTACCCTGTCGCGTGTCAGTCTGTTTCGAGCAATGACACGTCTTTAAGATTCTCATCCTCATTTCCAAATTTATCAACGGCCTTTTCCTTGCGTCCTCCATTGCTCTGTAATCACTTTCAGTCCCACTACCTTCTGTGAGGTCTAACCTCCTCGAGTTCTGGCCTCTTGTGTGTAACATGCAATCATAATCACTTTCATCCCTGGTGGCCATATCTTCAGTTGCCTGGAGATCATGCTCTGGGGTTTCCATGCTACACCCTGCCGCTCTCTCTGTATCTCTCCTCCTTTAAGATGCTTCTTAAAACCACATACTTCCCTCCACTTCATCTGGCGAAGGGGGCTGCGCTCTGAAAGCTTGTGATTTCCAATAAACCCGTTGGACTATAACCTGGTATGGTGTGACTTCTGACTCTGCAAATGAGGGCTAGCACTCCAAAGGAGCAAAGAGACATGCTGTTTCAGATCTGTATCACAGTGAGGTGCTGTTTTCACTTTTGGTCACATTTCTTCCTTGACCCTAACCAATGGGTTGCTCTAACGTCAGAACAAGGAACATTTGTTATCCTTAAGGCTTGCTCAGTACATGTTTCCTAAAAACAATAAGAATTAGATCACAGTACTCCAGCTGACCACAGGGAACAAGATAAAATAAAATGTGAATCATGTAGGCTCGGGGGATTTATTTGTTATCCAGTCCACACCACAAAAGAAATAATAAGTTCACAATTTATTTAACAGATGGAGAGAAACGTCTGGTTTTAGTTTGAACGTTGCAAACTGGCAACTGACCACATCAGATACACCGTGGAGTTCATGACAAAAGAGTGACACTGCGGCTGTTTCTGCGATGTGAGATGTTGCAGGAAACGATTTGGATTTGCTGTAATGTGCTCGTCTCCTTCCTCAGGATCGAGGATGAGCCGTTCCCGCTCCTGGTCGATGGGCTCCAGGTTACCTGAGCAATCCAGAGTGTGATCCACGCACTCTGCCAAAGGTGGGAGATTGTGGGGTGGATGGGGGGGGTTACTGGTTCTCTGAGGGTTGGGTCAAACAAGGCGTTAGGAGGTCGGTGTGCTCCCTCTGATGCCACAGCCTCACCTCCACCTATCACAGACAGAGTCCTCAGTACCTTTAGGAGTCAGGTTTCCCTATATTACGAGGCCACAAGCCAGGAGTGGGTGGGAATGTCTGACATCCACGTAGGATGCTCTGAGGGAAGTCCCTGAACTGTTGCCGCCATCATTTTTCGGTGGTGGGGGGGGGGGCGGTCACACGTTGGGTGTACGTCTCTACCGGCTGAGTTGGTTTCGAGCCCCAATGATGGCCAGCTTGGCTCGGGAGGAGAGTCTGTTCTTTAGAACGTGCTCCTTAGCCCAATGGCCTCTTTCTGTGCCACTGCAGCACTCATTCAGGAAGAAGCTTTAACATCCACTTGGTGAGGTTAAGGTGTCAGGGTGATTATCACCGGTTCACAGTCTTTACGTGATAGGTTTGCGGTGCAGAATTTCCTGAAACTACTGCAGATGGCAGAACAGCCCTTGTAGATATTTTCACTCAAACTGTTCAGATATGTCACGACACATGAATAAAAGTAAAAAACCTGTGGATGATGGAATTCTGAAACGAACACAGAGAGAACACTGGAGAAACTCAGCAGGTCTGGTGGCATCTGTGGAGATAGAAACAGAGTTAATCTTTCAAGACCGAAATGATTCTTCCCCAGAATGAAAGGTATTGACAGAGGAAGAGGAGGGGGCAAATGGAACAGAAGGTGTAGAGGCCATTCATTGGGGCTGTCATATTTTATTCACTCATGGGATGTGGGATTCGCTGGCTCAGCCAGCATAAGGGGGCATATTTTTAAGGTGACAGTACAGAGATTTAAGAAAAAGAACGAGGGGCAATTTTTTTTTACATAGAAGGTGGTTTCTGTGTCGATGAAGTTCTTGAGGAAGTAGTGGATGTGAGTACAGTTACAACGTTTAAAATACACTTACATGAGTACATGAATAGGAAAGGTTTGGAGAGATATGGGCCAGCAGCGGGCAGGTGGGACTAGTTTAATTTGGGATTATGTTCAGAATGGACTGGTTGGGACGAAGGGTCAGTTCCCGTGCTGTATGACTCTATGGGTCGAATTGCCCCCTTGAGAAGGTGGGGGTGAGCTGCCTTCTTGAACCGCTGCAGCCCACTTACTGTGGGTTGACCCACAATGCCATTAGGGAGGGAATTCCAGGATTCTGACCCAGTGACAGTGAAGGAACGGTGATATATTTCCAAGTCAGGATGGTGAGCGGCTCAGAGGGGAACTTGCAGGGGGTGGTGTTCCCATGTATCTGCTGCCCTTGTCTTTCTGGATGGAAGTGGTCGTGGGTTTGGAAGGTGCTGTCTGAGGATCTTTGATGAATTTCTGCAGGGCATCTTGTAGATGGTACACACTGCTGCTACTGAGCGTCGGTGGTGGAGGGAGTGGATGCTTGTGGATTTGGTGCCAATCAAAGGGGCTGCTTTGTCCTGGATGGTGCCAAGCTCTTTCAGTGTTGTTGGGGCTGTACTCATCCAGGAGTGGTGGAGAAAGAGAAAAAGACATGTAAGAAGGGGTGTGAGTTAAGGTGTGAAAGGCCTCTGAAGTAGCCCAGCACTCATTCAGTTGAAGGGCAATTAGGGATGGGCAACAAATGCTGGCCTTGCCAGTGATCCCCACATCCTGTGAAAGACCGGAAAAAAAAAATGGTGTGAGTGGTGAACTAATTTATTGGTTAGCAACAATGTCCGCCACCCCAATGATCAGACATCTTCTCTGTGTTGTGTGGTCAGATCGGAAGAACTTCCAGCTTCTTAGTTCTTGCACACACCTGCCTGGGGTTGCTGAGCTCAGTCTCACTCACCTTAAAGCCAGGGGATCCCTGAGATCCAGGTAATCCTGGGACTCCAACACGGCCACGGCCTCCGGGTTTCCCGACGAACCCGACATTCCCGTCATCCCCCTGCTCTCCCTGAGGTTGGAGGGAAGACTATATGTTAACAAAACTAACCACCAGGTCATGGCAGAGAGAACCGCTGAGATTATTCACTGGAGCGAAAGCAGAATGCGTGTCAGCCAAAAACAAAATGGATAGGATGGGCCGCATCGCAATTCACGGCTTTGAACCCCTGTATCAGAGTGCCTTTACCTCTTCTTGTTCCAACTGAAATGGTTTCCCCTCCGCCTTTAGCCTCCCAGACCCAGCGTAATCTTCTGCAGTCCATCTATGTCCTCAACACCCTTCCAGGAACTTGGCCCCACATACAAAACCTCAGCAACTGACATGTGGGCAACTTTTTCAGTTTACCTCCTATGTCTTCACGTAGTCGGGAAACACAATCTCTCAATGAGATATAAAACAGCAGAGGGCTGGCAATCTTCTACTGTACCACAGAATCGATATGATGCGGAAGGAAGCCATTTAGCCCATTTGTCCCTGTGCTAGCTCCCTTGAGTAATTTAACCTCGAGCTACACTCCTGGATCCCTGCACGCTGTTTTGATTAATTATCCAAGCTCTCTTCAATGGGTTGATTGAACCTGCTTCTACCACACTCCTAACACTCGCTGTCTGAAAAGGTTCTTATTTGTTTCACCTCGCTTTTTACTTCTTTTGCAAAATGTTTTAAATCTGTGCCCTCTGGTTTACGAATGGGAACGGCTCTATCCAGGCCTCTCTTGAGGATGTAGGAAAGCAGCAATTTCTTTCAATTAGGAATTATCAGGAATATTGTAGCCTGGGAGTTTCAGAGCCAGGGGTGAAATATACCAAGCAGTCCAAGCTGCAGTGAGCTCCTGGTGACCAATCAACACAAATCTCCGAACATTGCGTCCCACCTTCGATGTGATTCTGCTGTTGGACAGCACTTACCTAACAATCCCGATTGATTTAAAATAATTACACCAGAAGCCAATGTAGGTTTTAATGACATGTTAACACCAACCAATGATGAATGATGATGTGCATCCTCACCTCTGAACTCTTCAGGCTGTGCATGTGTATGAATGGTGCTGAACTTTCTGCAATCATCAGTGAACATCCCTCACGTCCAACATATTGATGGAGGGAAGGTCATCGATGAAGCAGCTGAAGATGGTTGGGCCTAGGACACTACCCTGAGGAACTCCTGCAGAGATGTCCCGGAACTGAGATGGCTGACCAACAACCACAACCATCTTCCCAAGTGCCAGGCATAACTCTGAACTGTGGAGAGTATCCCTCTGATTCCCATCGACTTCAGTTTGGCTCGGGATCCTTGATGCCAAAGGCAGTCAACTGAGGCCTTGATATCCAAGGCAGACATACTCACCTCACCCTTGGATTTCATCTCTTCTGTCCATGTTCGTAACAAGGCTGTAATGAGTTGACATGCCCTGGTAGGACCCAAACTGGGCGTCTGTTACTGGTAAGCTGCCCTCTGAAATGTCCGAACAAGCCAGTCAGTTCAAGGACAATTAGGGACTGGCCACACATGCTGGCATCGCCAATGATGGTCACATCTCATGGAAGGATTTTAGATAAAAATGTCTTGATCGAATTACCAGGCTCAAGACTGACCTGAATTCCTGGTTTGCCAATGATTCCAGGAGCACCGTCCAATCCTGGAGGACCCTCTTGACCTTGTCGACCAATGACACCTCTTGAACCAGGTGGACCAATAGGACCCTGAGCGTTACACAAAAAAAGCCTGCCGTTAGTTAGAGTTCCAACTATTCTGAAGTGCTGTGGTGGTGCTGGATAATGCACTGTTTTCATTCAGGAAGATCTTACAACAATGAAAGATACCATTACTATTGCAATGTTGTATTATTATTTGGAGCTGTACAGCCTTTGGATCATATCCAGCAGTCACTTCCAAGCCCCTTTTGTAACGAATGTAGTTGTTTCAACTTGTAGTTACCCAACTGAATGAATGCGTAGGATGGAGTTTTGCTTTATCACACAACACTTACTGCTGGGCCTGGACTCCCTCGCATGCCCTGGGAACCCGCTTTTCCTTTGCGACCCTAAACAACAAAGAGAGGGTTAGAGGAAGTAACATCTTGCGCTTATACAGTGTCCTCTTCAGGGTCATCAAAGCCACACGACAGAATCGAGAATTCTCCTCCATGACCAGTGTGTCACTTAAATCCCTCACAGACTATGGGGGAGCCGATGTGGGGCTGGGCCCCCTCAGTCAGTTCAAGGTGCAGGGTCAACAAACATGTTTACCTGTATGTTGCCACCTAAAGTTATAGAACATAGAACAGTACAGCACAGTACAGGCCCTTTGGCCCACAATGTTGTGCTGAACTTTTACCCTAAACCTAAGGTCTATCTAACCTCCCCCCCTACCTTATACTATCATCCATATGCCTATCTAATAGCCGCTTAAATGCCGCTAATGAGGCCGACTCCACTACCCTCTCCGGCAATGCATTCCAAGCCCCGACCACTCTCTGAGTAAAGAATCTACCTTATGGAGAGGATGGCAGCAGCTCCAACATTTGCTCCATCACCTGGTTGACCAGAATACTCTCCAGCTCCTATTACCTGCTATAGAGTCACACAGCACGGAAACAGGCCCTTCAGCCCAACTCATCCTTCCTGACTAGGTTTCCTAAACTGAACTAGTCCCATTTACCTGCATTTCCCTCTAAATCTTTCCTGTCCATGTGCCTGTCCAAATGTCTTTTAAATGCTGTAAATGAACCTGCCTGTACACTTCTTCTGGCAGCTCATTCCATACACTCTGTGTGAAAAAGTTGTCCCTCAGGTCCCTTTTAAATCTTTCCCCTCTCTCCTTAAACCTATACCCTCTAGTTTTGGACTCCCTTGCCCTGGGGAAAGGACTTTGGCTGTTCACTCTATCCATGCCCCCCGTGATTTTGTAAACTTCTACAAGGTTACCCTTCAGCCTCTGATGCTCCAGGGAAAATAGCTTCAGCCTCTCCTTATAACTCAAACCCTCCAGTCTCGGTAACATCCTTGTAAATCTCTTTTGCACCCTTTCCAGTTTAGTAACGTCCTTCCTATAGCAGGGCGAACAGAATTGTACGAAGTACTCCGAAGCTGGTCTTACCAATGTAACATGATGTCCCAACTCAATGCTCTGACTGATGAAGGCACACCATCGGCACATGAATGGAGTAGGCTCTGTGTAAGGTTGACAAGATACCGGACAATCTGCTCAGTTGGATTATGAGGGCACCTAGACTTGACCATCAAGCCCTAGAGTGAGACTTGAACCTAGAGATTCTAGTAGAGAGGCAGGGACACTACCCACTGCATCACAAGGCCTCCTCACTTGGGACCCACTAGATTACGTATATTAGACACAGGAAGTGCCACTCAAAGACATAATACTCTCCACACTAATGAGGAACATCCTCCTGACAGTATTCTGGGGATTACACAAAAGACCGCATTCTTGCTTATCTGAGGAAGGATGCTCTGGCAATGGAGGGAGTGAAGTTTATCAGACTGATTCCTGGAATAGCAAGACTGACATATGAAGAGAGATTGGATCAGTTTAGGGCTCTATTGACTGGAGTTTAGAAAGATGATAAGAGGTGGTGGAATCTTGTAGGAACCGATGAAATCCTAATAGGACTAATCAGGGTAAATGCAGCAAGGATGTTCCTGGAGAGTCCAGCACCAGGGCATGGGTAAGGTTCTGAGGAAGGGTCACTGGACCCTGATTTCTCTCTACGGATGCACTCAGACCTGTTGAGCTTTTCAAGCAATTTTTGATTTTGTTTCTGATATACAGCATGTGCAGTTCTTTCGGATTTTTGGACTGAAATGAGGAGGGATTTCTTCATCCAGAGAGAGGGGAGCCTGTGGAATTCTCTGTCAAAAAGCGGTTAAGGCCAAAACATTGAATGTTTTCCAGAAGGGGTTAGATATAGTTCTTAGGGCTATTAGGGTCAAAGGGTATGGGGAGAAAGTGGGAACAGGGGACTGAGTTGGATGACCAGCCACAATCATATTGAATGGCAGTGCAGGCTCGAAGGATAAGCGGCCTACTCCTGATCCCATTGCCTATGTTTCCATGTTGTTGAGGCCTGGTTTCAGACTTGTTTAAATACTCACCTAAAAGCACAGCCAGACATGGAAGATATTACATCTTTCACATTTCCTACTAAAGGGTAGGGTTGTGAATCTTTGGGCTTCCCTTCAATGAAAGGCTAGCTTTCCAGTCTTGTAAATTTTCCAATTTTTGAAATAAAAAACTTTTGGTGCTATTCCACGTGGAACGCATTATAAATCCACGTGGAACGCATTATAAATTCCAAAACTCTGCTCATCAACTGCAGCGTTCAAAATGCTGGCTTGGTTATGGGGAAAGGAGGTTGGTGATTGATCCAGTGGAAAGGTTTGTAATGACTTAGTGTGAAAGCAGAGCACTGCTGTGGGATTTGGGATTACTTAAACCCCTTTTTTGTTGCTGCTAAACTGTGTCTGGCACAATCCAACAGGAGTGCTGAAACACAACTCTTCCAAGGAGTCTACAACTTCCCAGCTCTGGCTAACTTCTGGTCCTCTGCAATTAAGTGAAATCTTAGTATCAGGCTACCGAAGGTCAAACAGCAGACTCATCATCTGGGAAGTGTAAACGCTGAAATTATGGCCAACGAACACAAGAGAGGAGTCACGCATTCAGGGTTCATGCTTCTGAAGTGACAGATGTTCTGGGAGGTTACGCTGAACCTTTGTCAAGCTCTCTCTAGGCTACAACTACCTTCAGCTCGAGCTTTTAGGGAAGACACGTGAGGCTCCTTAGGAAGGGAGATTGATCAGAATGTATCTCTGGATGACGGAGTTTACCTCCAAAGTTTGGGAGGAGAAACTGGTCTCCTTGGAGCAAGGGAGATCGAGATGAGATCGTTGATAAAAGTGTGCAAGATTATGACGGATGAGAGATAAGGTAGACAAATGAGGCACGATGGTTCTGTCCCTGCCTCTGGACCAGGAGGCCCAGATTCGAGTCCCACCTGCTCCAGGGATATGAACAGGTTGATTAGGGGGTTAACAAAAAAAAGGCTGTTGGAGGGTGGTAGCGTCCCTGCTTCTGGTCCAGGAGCTCAGGGTTCAAGTCTCACCTCCTCCAGAGGGGTGTCCGAACAGGTTGACGTTAAATAGTTATATAAGGTGGACAATGTAATGGTGCCCTTGGAGAAGGAGCATGTGATGTCCAACAACACCCCTGAGATATTTGGAGAGAGTTGGGAACCGCAGGGGGCTGGAGAGCTTTATTTCCCCTTCCAACTCCGTTTTGTTTTAACCGCCCCCCCCCTTCTCCTCCCCCTTCCCCCCCCCCTTTCACCTCCCCCTTCTCCTCACCCTTCCCCTCCACTTTTCCTCCCCCTTCTCCTCACCCTTCTTCTCCCTCTTCCCCTCACCC